GAGACTGAAAAGCTGGAGACTGGAAACTGCCTGCGTCCTCCCCCTAACTCACACCACCCTGCTATTTTCTTAGTCTTGGCTTTGCCCTCCAACTGGTGGATGCACAATGTTGAGGAAGCGGAGTTAAAATACACAGAAAAGAAACAGGGACAGGGACTGCAAACTGTGGTGTTATCCTAGCCTATTCAGCGTGGCTGTAGCAGGATACTATAAACTGATATATAACTGATGAAAGGAAGTGATTTCTCCCAGTTTGTGAAGTCGGGAGCCCACTTTGAAGGTGCTGGCTTCCGGAGAGGACCTTCCTGTTGGGACATTGCACGGCAGAAGGCAGGAGGGCCACAGGAGATCAGGAGAGGCTGGACTCAATACCGTCCTGACAACCCTCAGCCTAGCCATAAACAGGGGTCAAGCTCCTGTATTTAATCACATCTCCCTGGGCCCCACAGCGCCACGCTATGGCATTGGAAGGAAGTTTCCAACCCATAAAATTTGGAGTAACACATTCAGACCATAGTGAAAGCTATAGTTGTACTTATCCATTTTTACATAGTAGTCCAGCGCGCATATTAACTTTTTCTCTTCTCAAGTTACAGTTACAATGAACAATAAAAAGTAAAAAAAAAAAAAGGATCAGGTAGCTTAGCCTAGTGGTTGAGACGCCCACATCCCACAGTGGAGTCCCTGGGTTCGATTCCTGGCTCTGGCTCCTGACCCCAGCTCCTACTAGGCCCTGGGAAGCAGTGGTGATGGCTCAAGTAGATGGGTCCCTTCCAACCTTGTGAGAGACATGGATTGGGCTCCGAGCTTCTGGCTTCAGCCCACTCCAGTCCTGGCTGCTCAGGAATTTGGGGAGTGAACTGGGGGACGAGATCCTAATCAATCTCTCTATTTCTCTCTCTCTCTCAAATAAAAACTTGGAATTACTTAAATTTCTGAGTGGAAAGTGGAAATTAAAATGAGGGATCATTTCCCCATTAGATGAATGAAAATTATAGCATAGCATTTCTGTGAAATGGAAGGGATTGGCAAAGGCATAGGTTGTTTTTGTTCATAAATGTGGAAACCTAAATATGTATACAACCTGTATCCTTTCAAAAAAAAAAAAAAGGAATAGAACTGCTACAAGCTTTATTTTATTTATTTGAAAAACAGAGTTACAGAGAGAGGTAGAGACAGGTCTTCCATCCACTGGTTCACTCCCCACATGGCTGCAGTGGCTGGAGCTGCACTGATCCAAAGCCAGGAGTTTCTTCGAGGTCTCCCATGGGGGTGCAGGGGCCCAAGAACTTGTGCCATCTTCTCCTGCACTCCCAGGCCATAGCAGAGAGCTGGATGGGAAGAAGAGCAGCCGGGACTAGAACCGGCGCCGATATGGGATGCTGGCGCTTCAGGCCGAGGCGTTAACCTGCTGCGCTGCAGCGCCGGCCCCAGCAGTTCTATTCTTGATATTTGTCTTGGAGGAATAATCATAAATACAAGCACATGAAGAATGGTGCCAGGATGCTCAGGGTCGCTATGCTGCAGTCTAAGAGATTGGCCATATCCATCATGATGGGGTACTGGGGAATATGCTGTGGCATGAAGCTAAACTTCAGGAGCCAGTGCCGTGGCATAGCAGGTAAAGCCTCCGCCTGCAGTGCCGGCATCCCACATGGGCGTCAGTTTGAGTCCCTGCAATTCCATTGCCATTCTAGCTCTCTGCTATGGCCTGGGAAAGCAGTAGAAGATGGTGCAAGTCCTTGGCCCCTGTAACTGAGTGGGAGACCTGGAGGAAGCTCCTGACTTCAGATTGGTCCAGCTCTGGCCATTGCGGCCAATTGGGGAGTGAACCAGCAGATGGAAGACCTATCTCTGTCTCTTCCCCCCCCCCCGTCTCCCCCCGTCTCCCCCTCTCTGCCTCTCCTTCCACCTCTCTGTAACTGCCTTTCAAATAAATAAAATCTAAAAAAAAAAAAAAGAAACTAAACTTCAAATACCATTGAATGAAAAATAAGGCAAACTGAAGGAAGAAATATGCAGTGAGCCATTTACATAAAAGTAAAAAGTGAAATACAATTACATATGCATATGGATTTTTAAGACATTTTTTGGTGTAGTACCAGGGCTGGACAGATAAACATACACTCAGCTGGTACCCATGGTAGGGGGGTAGGACTCCGAGATTTAGAACGGTAGTTACAGGAAATTAGGCTTACCCTCTGTGGGTGTGCAGAAGCTGCCATAACAGCGTACCCACGACCAGTGGTTTACACAACAAAACTTTGCCGCTTGCAGTTCTGGAGCACAGATGGTGGGATGGGGAGTGGGAGATGGAGATGGGGAAGGGGTCCAGGCTTCCACCACCCCTGCCCTCTATGGCAGTCAGTGGGCATGGGGGAAGGGGTCCAGGCGCTGGCCAGGCTGGCACTTTTGCCACCGCTCTCTTGTCTGGCAGTCGCCATCTTCTCCCTGGGTCCTCCCGGGGTTTTCCTCTGTGCCAGGCTGCGCCCTCATTGGCTCTTCTGCAGGACACCCATTTCTTTGGGTGAGGGCCAACCCTGTGTGACCTCACTGTATCTTATTTACTCATCTAAAGGGTTTATTGCCAAGTGCACTCACGTTCCAGGTGCAGGAAAGGACTTCAGAATGCGAATTGGGAGAGGAGGAGAGAAACGGCCACTATCAAGCCTGTAACATGCCCACAGCATGTTTATTTTGACAGGCAAAAGAAGCTGGATTCAAATTTGATGTTAAACAGAGTTGTAACAGTAAATTCAAAGGTAATTCAAATATAAAAGGTTTTCCACATGAAATCTGCTTGTTACTCAGATCTTGAATAATTCTGTGGTACCACATTGATCACGCTGGTTATGTTATGGTGGTAGAAATGGAAGTGGACAGGGAGACATTATTACCCTTTTTATTGACTTCTTAGAGCAGTTTCAGATTTACTAGAAAAATTAACTACCACAGTATTCCCAGAAACCCAGTACCCCGTTTCTCCTCGTATTTATGTATCTTACATTCGTTATCATGCATACACCACTATTGGTACATTATTAAAGTCCACAATTTCTTCAGATTTTCTTCTTTTTAAAGATTGATTTATTGATTTGAAAGAGAAAAATGAGAGCTCTCTTCTATCCACTGGTTCACTCCCCCAATGGCCACGATGGCTGGAGTGGGGCTAGGTTGAAGCTAGGAGCCAGGAACTCTGGCTGGGTCTTCCAAGTACTTGGGCCATCCTCTGCTGCTGGTCCCAGGCCATTAGCAGGGGGGTGGAGGGAAGTGGAACAGCCAGGAAACTAACTCCTGCCCTGGCGGGCTTCAGCTGCTGCACCACAACTCGTGCACCTGTTCATATAGCTTTAGTTTTCCCCCTCATAGCCTTTTGGTGTTTAAGTTCCCAGCCAGGGTGCCAGCCTGTTGTCTGTAGTTGTCTCCATAGGCACTTACTGAATGTGACAGTTTTTCAGACTTTTCCTTTTTTGGAAGACTTGGGCAGCTTTGAGTACTGGTTGGGTATTTTGTAAAATGTCGCCCTGTTGAAATTTTTCCTGATACTTGCTGGTGAGTAGTTTGGGTTTATGGGTTTGGAGGGGAAGAACAGCATAGTCTGGTGTTTCATTACATAGTCTTTTTTTTTTTTTTTTTGACAGGCAGAGTGGACAGTGAGAGAGAGACAGAGAGAAAGGTCTTCCTTTGCCGTTGGTTCACCCTCCATTGGCCGCTGCGGCCAGCGCACCACGCTGATCCGAAGCCAGGAGCCAGGTGCTTCCTCCTGGTCTCCCATGCAGGTGCAGGGCCCAAGCACTTGGGCCACCCTCCATTCAGTACACAGTCCTAAGCATGCACGCTCCCGCCGTGGCTCGCCGCCTGGGTGTCACCGTGGTGCTTCCGTTGTGAAGGCAGCCCACCGGGCACGGAGCTCCTGGGCAGGAAGTTGCTGTGCACCGAGTCTGAGTGTGCTCAGAAGCGGAAGTTGCACACCCCCTGCTCAGGGTGCAGGATCTGCCTGCCTTACCCAGAACCAGCTGAAGGGACATTGTCACTGCTGCCCATTACATGTTACCTCCGTCTTACCAACTTTTGAGTCAGTCTTTTGAATAATTTTATGTAATAAGCATATTAGCATTGAACATTGTCTAGATAAGAATTCAGACTATTTGAGTTGCTGTCTCAAAATACTATAAACAGGGTAGGTTACAAATAACAAATGTGGTTTTCGGAGTTGGGTGAGGTTGCATTTCCTGGGTCACAGATGACACTGCCTTGCTGTGTCGTCACTTGGTGGAAGGGCAGGAGAGCCCCTCTGATGTCCTTTGCAGGAGTACTAATCCCATCCATGGAGGTGCCACCTTTGTGACCTGGTCATCTTCCCAGGGGCCCCAGTGCCGTCATGGTAGGCGTGAGAACCTCGGCATCAGAGTTTGAGGACACACACATTTTGACACCACTCCAGAATATGTAGACTCATTAAGGACTGAAGAAATTAGGAACATGCCAAGTTATCAGCACCTCATGAGTTCGCAGATGTCACTGACAGCAGCCATTGTCAAATAGCCATGCTTTATTTTCCCGAAGATTACAGAAAGCGGGCAACACCAGTATTTGAGGTTGTGCCCTGCTTGGAGAGGGAGAGGGCTACATTCGTTAGGTCGGAGTTGAGCCACAGGAGCCTTCCTGTGGAGGGAGTTTCTGAGGTTCCTGGGTTCTCAGCAGAGTGCAGGCTGTGGCCTCATCTGCGGCATGTGAGCCATCTGGGCTGTGCTGAGAAGCGACACGTCTGCATCGTGGTTTTCCTCGGAGCTGTACGATTGCCCTGGAGTGGAACTTGGCACGTGTGTCATGTGTGAATTTCCAGACGTGGTTTTCCATCTTTCCTCCCAATAAAGATAACTGAAAAGTGATTTTTTGCAACTAAATCAGGAAACTGTAAATGAGACATAGTATGAAATTCTCCTTCCTGCCCTTAGACGTGACATAGTAAGATCTCTCTACCTTGACCTTTCTTCCAGATATTTCCGTCAGCCTGTTGGCAGTCGTCGTGAGCTTTTGTGGGCTGGCCTTGCTGGTCGTCTCGCTTTTTGTTTTCTGGAAGCTGTGCTGGCCGTGCTGGAAGAGCAAACCCGTGACTCCCAATGTCACTGCCGTTCCCCAGAGCGTTTCCAGTGCTCCCACTGAAGTCTTTGAGGCTGAAGAGAAAAAAGAGGTTAAAGAGAACGGAAAGCCAGCTCTCAAAGCTATGGAGCCCGCGATAAAAATCAGCCACACTTCCCCAGACATCCCGGCAGAAGTCCAGACTGCCTTGAAGGAACATTTAATTAAGCATGCACGCGTGCAGAGACAAACCACGGAGCCCACGTCTTCATCCCGGTAAGGAGAGGTCGCGTCAGTAAAGCTGATACGTGTGTGAATGTGTGTGTGGTGTGGTTTCACAGGACAGCGAAGCTTAGAGGAGAAGAGGGAGCAGAAAAGAGAAATGGCGGAGTGGGAAAGACGGGGGAAATGTCCTTATGTGAAGACAGGGAGAGGGAAGTTGAGGACCAAGAAGCGAGACAGGGAGAGGTCCCATCGGAGGGGCACAGTGGGGTCTGCGGTCTCATTAAAATCGCACAACTGTGCGTCACTCTGGACTCAATGCTTTGAAATGTCCTTGCCTGAAAGCGGCTGCCTGTAGTGTTTGGGTTTGGTGTAATCCAGCCACTGAAGGAGAAACAGCCACATGAACGTGTGGGATGCAGGCACAGAGTATCGGGCATCACCTCCAAGTTCACAGTGACAGTTGTTTAGAGCCTACGCCATAAGTGTGCAGCCACTGGGGGATTTGGTTACTTTGTCCTCGGATACCCCAAATCCTCAAGTGTGTCATGGTCAGGTGAGTTTCACAAGAGCTTCACCCTGTGAGTTTCACATCACGGGGTGTTCACCCACCCAGGGGAACAGGCTTCTTTGAGGAAACGCATTTTGGCTAAGCCTGGGGAAGTGAGTGACAGGTTGAATAAAATAGCTTGCCCCAGCATGTTCACATTACATTAACTGCAGGGAAAAGAGACTGTCATGGAGAGGCTTTTGTTCTGTTAAGTGGAGTCATCAGTTCTTGAAACAAATGATGAATGATGGTAGCAGTTTCTCTCTGGTCCCCTTAAGTGACCCTGAATCTTAGACTACAACAGGGTGGATTCAGTAATTCTGGGAAGTACCGGCTCTTCGCGCAGGCAACTGGTTTACCTCCTGATCTCACCTTCCCACTTCTGTAGGGTGCATCTGTGCTTTGTGCCTAGACACACTTCTGTGAGTTCAGAAAACTTTCAGATTGAAAAACGGGGTCATGTTTGCACTAGGATTGAGACATAACAAGACAACTGTTGAAGACACTGTTGGTGAAAGTAGACAGGGTGTGTCTGCAAAGTCCACCTCTTCGTGAAGTATGTTCCAGTGTGAGCAGGAGTACCTGTCAGCTTTGTGATTAGCAGGCCCAGGACAGAGGCGGGGTGCCGGCATCTTCCGCATTGACAGTGTTCCCTGCTACTTAAATCTTGACAGCCAAGTTGTGCCTCACGTTCATTAGCATTTTGAAGAGATTTCCTAAGCAGTGGAATTTGGGGTCATTTTAAATTTCCTTATTTGTGATTTTTATGTAAGATAATGCAATATTCATTTTAACTTTTAATTTATTCTGGGTATTTAGCTGTAAAATAAATACCCAATAGACTTCTTTTTTACATTTTTTTTAAAAATGGAAAAAAAATGCCTTTCATGGAACTTCTTTTTTCTTGCCCCTATACCATTGGTCCTAGTGTATCTATAGGGAAAACTGCTTTAAATTGATGTGATATGTCACTTGGTTATCACTAGAACCATCTCAGAAAACTGTGGCCAGATATGATATTTAATGTGTATGAGGCCTTGAGATACTCAAGAGATGGACGAAAAATGTTCAGGCATTCTGTAAAACCTTTTAAAATACAAGAGGATCCTACTTAATTGTAGAACTCCAAGTGCATGCCTGCAACTGTGTGTGGTACCTGACACTGTGTTCAGGTATACTGTGTTTAATCCTATACATACATAACTATGATAAAGTTTAATTGAAAATTAGACACAGTAAGAGATTAACAATAATGACTAATAAGATGAAACAGTGATAGAGAACTCACTTTTACACATTCTCTATCTCTCACAAAATATTTCACTATACTATTTACATCCTTCATTGATGATATTGATGAAGTGAGGTGAATGTCATGGCTATTGTTATGTGATGTTAGGCTACATATTGCCTCAGGGTTACTTGAAGATAAGCTGCCTACTGTGATGGTTGACCAGATAACCCAGGTGTTGACTCCACAACTGAGGGGCCAAGTAGCACAGTGTGGATACACCAGACAGAGTAACGACTCCTGTCCAGGGTAGAATGGAGCTGGACTATGCATGATTTCATCACACTTCTCAGTTTGGTGCACAATCTAAAACATGTGAATTGTTTGTTTCTGGAAAAGTTGTCAGACACTGGTTGACCACAGGTAACTGGAACTCCTGACAGCAAAGTCATAAGACAGTGGGGACCAGAGCAACAGCTATGAATATACATCAGCTCAAGATACAGAATTGTTCAACTCTGTGAGTTGATAAGTATGCGAAACATTCAAACACTCAATTCATGGAGACAAATTGAAGTGATCTGCATGTTTTGGAAACCACAGATTAAAAAAAAAATTCTGTCTCCAAAATGTTAGCTATTGACTACAAAGAGATCACTAACTTCTTTAGGGGAGAATGACAGACCAAAGCCTGAAAACACAGGTATGCAGAGTTCGCTTTGGATGCAGACCTGGTTTCTGGAAATAATAGATAGCATTCCCATCCTGGATTTATCACGTATCAAGTGAATTCAGTAGGGAAGAAAATGTTTTATCTCAACCTGAAAAATAAAAATTGGTTTATACTCAGTGTTCTCTAAGAGAAAAAGTACAACACAAACTGACAGTTTTGCTACAGCTTTGATACCATTTCACCTGCCTCTTTGAGTTGCCTTGCACGCACTAGTGGCTGGGGAAGGAAGAACAAATGGATTGTTTTTGAGCTCTTGGCATTGAGTCCTGTGGCAAGCCACTAACTGGCATGAACCTGCTATTATTAATTGTCCCCATTACTTGTGAGTCAAATGAAACCCAGAGAGATTTAAAGAATTGCCTGAAGTCATGCAGCTGGCAAAAGAGTTTGAATTTACCTGGATTCATACGTGGAAGCCAAGGGGATGCGGTTGTTTTGCAAACAGAGCTGTTGGTTGGCTGCAGTCGGCCGAGGACAGCTAGTTGGGAGTTGGGGGGGTTGGAGCATCTTCCTGCTCAGTCTACTCAGAAGTTGTGAATGACTAGAGTCAGGATTTTAATCTGTTTGACCTTGGGATGAATTCTTTGCACAAAACATAGTTATTCCTACTTTGAAAAATCATTCCCACGTGAATTACCTTTATACTAGAAATTACCTTTATTTGGAGAGGAAGAAAAAGTTGCAGAGTTCATTATGTAATCCACTGGGACACGGAGATCGAGGGTGCATTATTAGAAATCACATTGTTCTCAGAGGTGAGCGTTTCTCTGAGCTATGGCAAAGTCAAGTCTACACGTACAACGGATGCACACACAAAGAAAAAGGTTTGACTTGGTTGCCACCTCCTTTGGGTGTTGCTTTAGTCTGCTAAACACCTCCTTTAGCCTGCTGTTGGGATGCCAGTGATAGGTAACACAATACCTTCTCAGGCTTTATCTGTCTCTGTGCGTAAATAACATCCTGATAGGTCCAGAAGGGGGCAGTCTTGAGGGGAGCTCTCCTTTCCCACATTCTCATCTCCTTTTTGAAATACATGGACGTTTGACAGCATCCATCTGCTAGGCAGCCGAATGACTGTGCTACCAATTGTGCATGTCCTCATTACTGCTGTTCTTAGGGGACCCCTCTTGATGAGCTGGCCATTACAGTTATTACGATAACTGGAATCAACATATGTTGCTCTCTGGATGTGGTCACTGTGTTCTGCACACTCTCCCCACTCTGAAGCTCCAAGAAGCTGTGAAGAAATAGAAGGAGCAGTGTGGCAGTAAGACGTGCGTGCCAGCTATAAGGAATTGTAGGTAACCACTGTGTGGAGGAGAATGTAGAACTTAGAGCACGGGGAGAATATTTGCAGCTGAGCCACAGAGAAGAGTTGTTAACCAGAGATGAAAGAAAACGAGGAATTCACGCACATGGCAGTTGGGGAAAGATGGGCACCCCAGAGAGAAACACTTGATGTGAAAATTGCAACACAGGAAGTCTTGCTAGGAAAATAGCAGGTACGCTACCTTGTTTAGGAAGATAAAGGATGCTGAAATTGAAGAGTAGGGAGGCCTTGAAATCACAGTGAAGGTGTTCAAGAATATTGTAGCAGGAGAGTCCTTTGGGAAACAGTGCTGTTTGGTGATAATTAACTTGGCAAAACTTACAGGCCAGACTGTAGGGGATGACATCTATTTTGAAATTAATGTAATGCTTTGGCATAACAAAAATCAGGCAGCAAACAACCAGAGAAAGGAACCTAAGGAAGATGGTACAGGAAGAACCTAAGAATTCTTGATGAAGTGGCACATCTGTCTTTCTGTGTTAATCCAAGCCTTTGCAAAAACCCAATTCAAGGCTGTTATAAACTGACTGTACAAAGGTAACATTTTAGCCTTTTTGGCACCATTTGTGGCCACACAGATAGCTCTATGCTGTTTCCTTAAACAGAAAATCTGCTAGGTTTACATCTATATTGCTTTTTGATGCATTGACAAAGCACAAGAGAAACTTAGGGCACACTTGTTGTTGTTCCTACCCACATGGGTCTTTTGTGTTGCCCACTGGATGAGTGCTTGGTCTGGTTATGCCCCTACCCTCCAGAGAAGATCTGAACACTGGCTCTCTGTGCATTTACTCCCATGGATTCCTTTGTCCAGAATGATGACTTCATTTCTATTGAGTAAATCTTTAAGGAAAATACATCTGAGCGTCTACTTTCTCAATCCAAGTATAAGCTGTTGACCTTTGTTATTCATAAACTGTACTTAGAACCCAGCAGTTAATCATCTTCATATTGACCTCTGGCTGTTTGCCAGGCTAAACACTACATTCTCAGAGAATAAGGCAGATAACCTACTTGTATGCCCTTTTAATTTCCAGGCTGAGCAGGTGCATAGCAAGTGTGCAGTGAATGCTGTTGATTGGTTGGTCTGCTCGCTTCATTGTTCTCTGGCTGAAGACATCATCAGAGAGTGACATTGATATGGGAGATGACCCCCTAAAAGCTATACGGAAATGTGGCCCCTTAGAGTTCCCCAGAAGTCCCATCTGGG